GTAGCGCGCCACCATGAGGTACTTGAGATGTTTGCCCAAAGTGCCCTTTGAGGTGGCGTCTAGCGCTGGCTTCACTGGTCCAGCTAGATCGATGGTCAAGCTGAATTGCTCAGGATGCCGAACCCGACCATGACGCTTGCCTGTGCCTCGGGACATAACGCACGTCAGACAGTCTCTTCGGTATTCTGCATGATTCGACCGTATATGCGCCTTCCATTGCTCAGGGGAAAACGCCAATAGTCTCGGAGATTCCTTAGGCGCTCTTGTCCAGAACCTCAAGGCTGTCACCATTGCATCCACTAGTCCCGGCGCCCAAACTCCTGAACCCAATCCCTTCGCGGCCTTCCCTCCGCCTTCTGGCTGCATTCCATCCAAGCCCATCAAGTAGTAGACATTGGTGCCAATCGTTGTAGGTATGGAGTTCAGTGATCCCATGCATTGCTGATCGAACGTCACTTGGCTCATTTGGTAGGCTTCCTGAAATGCTTCCCACATTGTAGTTGTCCATAGCGATCTCGCCGCCTTCGTAGTTGCATCGGTAGTAGAGCAAGCCGTACAGGAAGTCACAGTCGTAGCTGCTGGGTGTTCCAGTGCGAATGCCACCGGCCTCTGATGGTTGGGCCCTGCCGTTCTTAGCGTTCTCGCCGTCTCTGCAACCGAATATAGCCATAGCATCATCCTCGCCAAAACACTCATCACCTTGACATCTGAACCCTTAGGAACTTCACCATGTTGTAGTACTCCTCCTCTCCCTGGTGGCCCTCCAACGATTCCGTCCAACTTTCCCATCATCGCACCCACAATAAGAACCTCCACGTCGAGCTCCTCATAACGTCCTGACCCTTGCACCGATCCACGTCCAGCTCGATCATCACCGTGTCCCCTTCATCCACCTGGAACATCTGGTAGTGACCCGGGTTTCCGGCGAACATATGAACTACCCACCGCTTCGCTGACCAAAGACGTCGCCGTTGAGGACGTGACAAGAAATCCACTGACTTCAGAGCGCTCCAACCCGCATCCTTCAAGTCTGGCTCAAGAAGTCCATTAAGACATTCTCCTGGAAGCCCTTGTAGATATGGTGCATCCCGAAGTGCCCTTAGTCCTGCATGCATATCACCCCCAGCCACGAAGTCCTGCAGGTGATCCTTCCAAGACTTGTCCAGCTGCAGCGCCGCCATGGCCAGGGCATCCTCGGTATTTTGGGTCACATTCTCGAGGTTCTCTCGGCGTCTGTCCTCTATACGGGATATCATCGACAAAGCCTCCAACTCACACATCTGAGGACAACCCCCTTGGACTTTCAATCTTGTAACCGTCCCAACAGAATCCTTCAGAAGACAGTGAGTGGGGGTCCATTCCAAAGAATATCCCAGCGTAGACACCAGCTCGCCTAAGGGCACGATCGTTTGTCCTCCACTTCCCCCAGCTTTAGCTCCTTCCGTCGGTGGCATAAGTAGGGAGCCCGCATCGTTGATCCGCATCATCAGCTTACTCGACCCTGCAAGTTGCACCAACACCTCCGCTGATGAGGCCCACTCTGCCTCATCCTTAGCGCTCCTCAGACAGTGGGTTGCGCCCGAGTCCAGCAGCGCCGCTGCCGTATTGGCCGCACTCACACGGATGTCCTTGATGATCAACATCCGCATCTCCGGCTTAGTCTTTTCCGGAGAAGAATCGCCCTGTCCCGTCGCCTGAGATTGACCCTGAACAACTTGATGGGCCGCTTGCACCAGTGCCTCCAATGTCCAAGGGACGCCCTGCGCAGTGGATGCTGTAGACGGCGAACTCCCAATGGTCGATCCTGCCGTTGCCGTAGTACTCAATGACGCCACTTCGGGGTCACGTAGCTGTGGTTTCGCACCCCTCTGCTCTCTTTGCTGACCCGATGTAGGCGTAGAACCCGCTGGCCGCTGTCCCCCCTTTGCCACTGGACATTCACGTTGTCTATGAGCTTCGCTTCCGCACTTCAGGCACTTCTTTGCTCGCGCCTCGCGGTCTAAAGACTGCATCGAGTGAGCATACTTACACTTCTCTCCACGTCGGCAACCACTGGGCTTCAGGAAATATCTGCAGACGTCCGTAGCTGGCTTTGTAGTATCCCTCTCAGCCTTTGGGGACCCTGCATCAACTGCCTGAATACGAGGCGCCGTACTCACAGTAGTCATCCCTGCAGCCAGCCCTTCCAGCTCTGCTTGTAGGTGCCTCTGGTAAGCACCCACTTGCTGCATGGAAGGTTGTCCGTCGAGACGAAGAGAAGTCCTGAGCATTGCAGTGCGGAACGTGGCATCGGGTGAAAGGGATATAGTCTTAGACGTTAAGGTCATCAGCCCTCTCGCCATCACTGTTGGGTCTGGTGCGGTCATGCCCATGCTGTAGCATCTGCTAAGCCATCTAGGCCAGGATCTCAACACTTTGAGAACATCTGCTATTGCTTCGCCCTTGAGGAACTCAGACGGGGCTTGGAGTCGTCTCAACACCTCTTGTCGTTCTGCTGAGCCCCCTGGTTGGTACCATGTATACAGGCGAAAAACAATCTTGGCAGTGTCTTGCGATGCCCTCTGACTCAGCATGCCAGCCTTGAGCTCGTCCGTCATCACATTGAGTAACATAGAAGACGCCCGGGCATTCATGCGTAGCCATTGTCCTTCACATAGAGCTGAGGTTCCCTCTGGTTGGATAGCTAGTCGCTCTATTGGGGTCGCTGATAGCCACCTTGCATACGCCGCCTCAACCAAACTCATCATCGCTCTCCACCACCTTCCAGACTGCTCGCTTAAGTCAGACATGCTCGTATTGGCGATTTCCAACCAATCTTGAAACTGGAGTGATGAATCCGCTCCCCCTCGTAGCTCAGGTAGTGGCGCCAGTGCCGTAGTTCCTGCCCTTAGCCCATCGGTTGTAGCGGCTCCTGAGGACCTCGACATAGCTTGAGCTTGTAGTTCCTGTAGCTGCTGAACACCCTTTGCTATGGTTTCCATCATCGGTAATTCAGGGCTTCTCGCGGGAGGCAGTGAAGGAGTTCGATTGCGCCCCAGCAAGGACCTCAGTAGCCCTCTGTGGTCCGCGCCTTGCGCTCCTTCTGGATCATCTGCTGGTACTGTAGGTTTAGGAGGTAGTAGCGGTGGTTGTGGTAGGTTAGGGCCTCGATCTTCGACTGGTAGTTCCCTTCTTGGTTCTACTGGAGGTACTGGTAGGTCTGGGCGTGTAGGTACTAGTAGTGGATCTCTTCCTGATAGGCTTGGAGGTTGAGGTACTGCATAGCCATGACTTAGATCAGGTACTGTCGTAGTATCCAAACCACCCACATCTCGCTCGCCTTGGCCACCCGGGAGCTCTAGCCCCCAAAGCACTCCAGGACCAGAGGGAGCGCTTAACAGCCCTCCCCACAGGTCGTCATCTCGGCCCGGCCTGCTGTGACCACCGGCTCTTGCTTCTTCCAGTTGTAGGGTTGCCTAAGGGCTCCTGTGGTTTGGGGGTTTGGGGGCTCCAACGTTGTCCAGGGTTGATTTACCTAGACACGACGGGCCAACGTTAATTCTGCTGTCGTAACGCTTGGTTTTCACGTGTTTCCCTACAAACTTTCGGGCACTGGGATCCTCAAGCAGATTTTGTGCTCTTGAACGGTTACGGGAGCTACACATGCACGGGGATTGGGATTTTGGGGATCCTCAAAATAGTCTCTATACTATCAAGGTGGCGGTACTCTGACATTCCTCTGATCTTGACGGACCATCATGGTTTAACCGACTGAACTACCCGGTTTTTCTTTTGAACCTGTTGAATGTAGCATGGTTTCTGCTCGAAGGCTCGATGAGGCTCGGTCGCTTGCAATCCAGTTCCGCACTTTTTTTCGGAAGAGACGCCACATGTTTGCTTTGAGTTGGAGGCATCACGCATTCTCAAAGGGTGGGATGGTGACACTCATCGCACTCGTGCTCCACGTGGCACTTTCTAGCGACAAACACGGGTCGGCCACAATAGTGCCGACACATGTGAGCATTCACACATGGCTCTCTGCAACGCCCTACGCTCGCACACTGCCTAAAGCGCCGTGGTACACGGCTCGGTCGGCCAAATGTGAGAAACGAAGGCTTGGCAGTCTTCCAATCAGCTGTCATTGCATTCTGCATCTTTGCAGACTCATGAGAACACACGGTTGTGGCATCATCATCATCATCATCATCAAGGCCATCCAAAGCATGTAGATCTACGGTAGCCGGGGCCGCTTCCTTGTGCGAGGATGCGGCTGCAGTCGAGAGAACCGCATCGGAAGAATCGAGAGAGCTTGACTTTGCGGCACTGTCAGACTGCTCAGCACAGGACACTTGGGCAACAGAGCTAAAGCACGTCTGAAGGATTGCTCGTTGCTTCGATGGCAAGGCCGCGATGGCCGAAGTGATACACACTTCTTCTTCTTGCAAAATCAAACGGAGTGCTTTTGCAGCACGTTGCACTCCACTGGGATCCATCGCACTGCACACTGAAAGCTATCAGCACGCTAGCCTGGAATCCTGGAGACGATGAAAGGGTGACTTANNTTAAAGGGTGGCTTGGTATTTGTTGCTCATACAGTTATAAAACACTGCAACACGCCAAAAACATGTGACACTCCACACCAATCTGATGCTTAAACGGCTGAGACGCATGCACAGTAGTAAGGCATCGGCATCAGCATCGCAAACTCGCAAATTGACGACGCTCACGAAGCTGGGGCACATTACGGCACATTTCTCACTAGTTTTGCAAAAGGCACGTCAAGAGAATGACGTGGTCAAGGATAGGTTTCTCACCCTGATAGGACAGAGTGGCCTACGCTCGTACATGAAACGACAGGCGAAAATATGAAATCGCGGAGCGGTTGCTGGGCGGGGCTACCCGCGAGTCGAGTGAAGCGGGGCCACCCGCACATCACCAAAGATCAACAAAGGCGGAGCTGCCCGCAAGGCCGCACATGATCGCACGTGCGGGTTCCCAGCATTGCCGCAAACTCCACAAAGTCACTGCTGAGGGTCCTGCTTTGACTCCTGCGGCGGACCCTGAGCAGCTTCCTCTTTCTCGGCTTGCTCGGAGGCCTGTTGCGATCCACCCTTAGACGCAGCAAAAGCTGCGGCTGCATCTTCAAGGGCCTTGGCATCCTGAGGCGGGGATGCCTTCAACGATGTGGCTTCAAACAAAGCCTGCACTTGCTTAATGCAGCGACTCTCGGGACAAAGCTGGGCAAGCTTCTTCATCTCTGGTTCCATGTTTCCACAGAGCATGCCAATGCGAACGCCGCCAATGTCTTGCGACAACACTCGATGCGACACCAGGGCACCACCAGGAGTGAAGAGGATGTCGTTGGGCCCGACGGTGCCACAAAAGGCCCCTCCAGACGCCTTCAACTTTTCCACGTCTGCCTCCGTACACTTGAAGGCGAACTCTTGAACACGATGCAAGGTGTCCTCCTTGCTCTGGCTTTGCAGCAGCTCCACTACCGCATTGAGCAAAAGGATTGTCACGAACCGTGTTCCATGGAAGGTGGCACGCAGGCACGGCATGAGATGGAGCTCCAGCTTGGCGACTGAGACGTGGGACGCTGCAACGCCAAACGTACTGCACAAGAGCGCTTTGTGCAAATCTGGCCACTGCTTCTGCTGCTGCTCGGACTCCAAGCCCATCACAACGGCATGTCCGTCGATTTCCTTTGGCACCTTCGCCTGCAGAACTTTGCAGAATGCCTGGGAAGCTTCTGCCGAGGCTGGTGCTTGGGCGCGGCCTTCTGTGATGCGCATGCTGGATTCCTTGAAAATTGCCATGAAGCCCTTCATGGCTTTGCTCACATCATCGTGGGCAAAACAGTCTTCGCACTTTGTCAGCACGAACGGCTTGTCAAGGCCCTTCCACTCCTCGCACCACGAGGTCCTCATGGGCATCTGGACTGCCTCATCTCCCCAAACCTTGCTCTCTGCATCCACTAGAACATGAGCTGCCGGCGACTTGGCTTTCTTCATCCGTCCTCCCGCAGCGAAGAAGCGCAATCAACACACAAGCCTTTGGTATACTTGCAATACATACGAGCGAATGAATGCAGACTATATCCCAACACCGTATGGACAAAATCCGACTCCGTCTACAACAGCTGCAACAGAAACATATCCTCCCCGAGCTGCACTATCGAACAACGACCGTTGCAAATACCTGTGGCAGTCCAGCTAAGCACCCAAGCAAAACCAGCATGGCACGGAAATGGAAAGAAGTTGCAGCGACAATGGAATGAGATGCGAAGGCAAGCTACATTGGAGGGTTGAGAGTTTCGGGCGAACATGACACAGCACTGTCACAGCACGGGAACCCATCCTTGCCCGGCCACGGCCGCAGCCCGCTTCTTCTCTGCCGTAGCATCCTTCAGCTCTTTTTCTTTCCTCTTCTCGAGGTTCTGCTGATCCTTCTTCCGAGCTGACAGCAGCTCACCTGTGGCTGCCTTGCAAGCTTGCATAAGTGTTGACAGCAACTTCTTTGCTGGCACCAAGCTTTCCAGATGCTTCTTGATGTCGTTGTCAGACGCACATGCACGGAACTCCGTCGCTTTGGCGAGAAGGGATGACACAGTCACCAAACTTTCCCAGCCGGCACATGGCCCGGCTTTGGCCACGGCCAAGGCATCCCTAGAATCTGCAGCAGACTCCGTGTCCGCCACGGCCTGTACGCAGTCCTGCTGCTTCGCCACCTTGCTGGTAAGACTGGCTTCCTCGGGCTCCAATGTGGCATCCAGCCATTCTTGACGCTTCTGCACCAAAAGCATTTCGCAAGAGTACTTGCTAGCATCCGATGATCCTCGGAACTCCGTCAGCACGGCCGTCATGTCCCCACTGACCTTGTCCATCTCCCGCCGCAAATTGGTCATTTGCTGCTCCCACATTCTCTCAGCCTTCCTTGTCCGTGACTCGGCATCGAACCACTTCTCCGACTTGTTGGGAGACGGGTTGCCACCAGTGCCTCCCTGGCCTCCCTCAGACGAACCGGCACTGCCTTTTTTGGCCTTCTCTGAGCCAGCTTCCTCGGACGTGTCATCATCCATGTCATCTGATGTCCTCGCCGGCAAGAGATGACCACAAGTACTGCAAACATGTAGGGTTAACACGGTCGGGGCGGGACTAAGGCAGGGACACATCATCCTAAACATGCGATTGCCTCCCTACAGAGAGACAGAAAGACAAAGAGACAGAGAGACACGTTTGTAATGGTAATGGTACATTAAAATCCTTGCAAGGTTTTTGGCTCCAAAAAAATGGGCCCAGGTCCTCTTGTGCCTTGCAAAGAGCACAAGAGGACGTGGGCCCATTTTTCTGGAGGAAATTTGGTGGGGTGGGGTGGGGCAACAAAACCCATTTTTGTTCCGGCCTGTTACAAACAGAAGGTTTTGACCCGCACCCACATTCTGATCACAGAACGGGAGCCCCCAGCTCCCCAACCCCCCACGGCTGTATCCGGCCAGGCATCACACTGTCCAAGAAACACCTCACCCTGGACCCCGTCCTTTTCTTGGCCATCTTCGCTTTGACGCCCTGGAGCAGCTCTTCCACATCCGGTCCCAAGAGACCGTCTCCGGCCAACGCAGAGCTCTGTCCATTTCCTGCAAAGCTCGTCTTGGCTTTGCTCAAAACGGCACTGAAGTCCGCGAGATCGTGCTCTTCCATGCCCTGGTCCCCCGCGAGCATCTTCATAGATGCATCGACGACGCTCTGACTAGGCTTCTTCCCCAAATTTGCGCCCTTGGCAAGCTCCTTCTCTCGCGAGATATCGTTGTACTGGATGATTTTGTCCTTGGTCTTCACAAAGAGACGCAGGTAGTTACGTGGTCCCTCCCTGTCACGCGGGTGCTTCTCATCCTTTTCCCACTTGGCCCACATGTCACGAGCCTCCTGCAAAGACAAGAACCCGTGTTTGGCTCTCTGGGCTTCCTCCAGCCACTCCCCCTCCCACATCATCTCCCCCTCAGCCTCACCCCTCGTGCCCACCTGCGACTTGTACTTGACAGTGAACGTGTGGATGCAGAAGCGCAGGCGCTTTCCGCCCCTCTTCGTGGCCTCCCTTTCCTTCAAGAAGGCCTTCACCAAAGCACCGTGCTGCTTGGGATCATTCTTCTCCATTTCCTCGAGGTCCTCCTTCATGTTCTGACGAACAGCTACTCGTGCAAGCGAACGATTGTCGTTGTAGCACTGCTTGCACTTCGCCTGCTGTTCATTGTAGTCGCTGTCCTCTTTGAACTTGTTGCACTGCTTGCATTTGCGCCACGAGTCTCCGGGCTTGGCTTTGCTTTTCTTGGCTGCCTTCTTCACTTTGGGACCTTTCTTGCTAGTTTCCTTTTGTGACCGCCGCCCCTTCTTATTCACATGCCCAGAGGCGGATGCTGAACTTTGGGCATCTGACTCATCCCCAGCCCGATCCGTTTCCTGCATGAAAATGGCAATATCATCTGCTGCATCAGCTGCCAATGACAATGAGCTCATTGTCGAATGGCCCCGACCCCCAATCCTGTTGACAGCAGCGGACACCACCCTGGAAAATTACGTGTCCAGCCGGCAGCTTGAAGGAGGCTAGCAACGTTACGAAGCTATTCTACCAGTGTTGGAAAGTACATAGTTCTCTGCAGCGGCTGTAACACGAACCACATGAACTGCAACAGTATTCTACTAGAGTATGCATTGTACCCTCTCTGCAATGCGACCTCTGTCTCATGTGAACAACCGACACCGTCCACCGTGGCCTCTACCTCTTGCTGACCTGGACTGCACGCGACGCCAACAAAAGTGCAAGCGGCAGTGGCACTGGCAAAGTAAGTCTGCCCAACATGAAAACATGTACTGGACTCTCTGGCGGCTCTGGCGACTCGCTGGACTGTCTGCAATGCAACTCAGCAGCAACAAGCTCTGAATCAAATTTTGCACACCTGGAGAAAGTGTCGGTTTGCATGCACAAGTGACACGTGGCTCACGCCACATGCATGGCCTCTCTGCTGAAGCTCTGCCAAAGCTCGTCGTGGCATAGCATCCACAAACTGAAAAATGTCTGCGACTGCAGTGTATCAACACTCTCAGCCGCTCAGCTTCTCTGTGCACGCAGACACAAACATAAACACAGCGCCTACAACTCTCAAGTGCATAGAATTTCCTGCAACACTGTAGAGGTGCTTGTCTGGGAGGCTCCGCAAGGCTTCTACAAACTCGCACCGGAATTCCTGTGGACAGGTCTCCGGCTGGGACCCACTCGAGCTCTGCGAATTGCCAATGGCCTCAGTGACTCCAGGATTGCGGCCCCATATGTTCCAGCCTTGGACCTCCAACAACTCCAAAGGCAGCGGCCACCGCTTTAGTCCAAACAGCCAGAGCCTGGAAGAACGCAGCAGGGCTGGAACAATGAACTGCTTGGCCGGAGTGAAGCCCGGCGATTGCCTGACGTTCACGATCCAATGGCTTCTGTCGGCTTTGGATCCAATGCGGGCTGCCAGAGCTTTCTCATGTTCCGAAATGTTCTTCTGAATAGCCTTGGTTGCCACTTGGAAAAAGCTCCACTGTCGCCCTTTCTCATTGCACAACGGCATGTGCTTCTGCGCTGCAAGGCCGAGCTTGTACTCCTGGACCTCGTGCTCGGGAGCCCTGAACTTCTCCTGGCCTGACAAGTGCCTGGTCCTTGCAAACAGACGACAGAAAGCATCTTGAACCCCATATTAGGCTACTTCTGGAAGCCATGCAAGCTTGTCCTTCTTTAGAAGGATCATGTACTTACGCTGACGCTCAACTGGCTCTCCAAATAAGGTGGGGGAGATTCGCAACACTTCCAAATTGTAAGAGACATGGAACAGCTCACCCAACATATCGGAATCAAAAGCGTCGACGCACTCGACGATGATCATGTCCTCCAGGGACAGAAGTCGTTCACGGGCCCATTCCATGAAGATGGGCATGCTTTCACCCAGCCACTTCTTGGAGCTACCCATGCTGCTCCAGTCATAGCAGTTCACGCCAGCGACATGAACACGAATGCCTGCGAAGTCAACAGGTATGTCAGGGATGACTGGGCACATCCTGTTGTGGGCAGCACACATGCCAAGCACCGATGCTTTGCTGGTCTTCTCGACATCCAACATGAAGTTGCTGATCTTGCGAACTGTGCTACGACCAACCTCTTGCCTGATCGCACCCTCCTTGTTCTTCCCCGCCACAACCTTCGTCTGGGCGGTTGACACAGCTCGTTTGTGATATCCTGCCAAGCGATTCAGCAGCTTCTTAGGGCACCTTTCCATGATGTCGCCATGCACGCACATGGGCCGAAATGTTCCTGCGTGCTTCAGAAGCACCTGACGACAGTGCATGGTTACATCACCAGCACGCAGGCAACGAAAGATGGCATCTTCTGGCACCGTCTTGCCCAAACCTGCTGCGAAGGCTTTGCAAGCGGTGACCACATGGTGCAATGCCTCCTCGGGGCAGCCGATGCCGCTGTAATCTGTGGTCAAAAGCACACCCTCGAGGATTCGTTCACAAGCTGCTGCTGCTAGGTTGCTACCAAAGTACTTTGCTCCCTGCTTCTCCAAGCTAAACAAGTCTTCCAAAGGCCAAGACATAGACTCAGCTGCAGTAGTTGCACCCGCAAGCCTCCCCTCCAGCTGCTTGTGCTGCTGGTACGGCCCGAGCCTGCCGGTGGCTGTGTCCTCCACCGCCTTTCTTGACTCAGACAGAGTGGGCTCGCAATCGAGCTGCAACATCATTCTGGCCGCTTGCCCTAAGACCGTGCAAAGACCGCTATATGGTATCCTGACAATGCTTTCTATGCCATGCCCTGTCACAATACTCCGGCCTATCTGAATAATATGTGCAAGATAGTAGCAACATACTGAGGAAAACTGCTTGCCGAGCCAACTTCAACAACAAGAATAGAAGTGATGAGCCTCGGACTTGCTGGTTGACAGAAAGAATGCGATTGCCTCCCTACAGCAAAGTTTTTGGCTCCAAAAAAATGGGCCCAGGTCCTCTTGTGCCTTGCAAAGAGCACAAGAGGACCTGGGCCCATTTTTTTGGAGGAAATTTGGTGGGGTGGGGTGGGGCGAAGCAACTGGGCAATTTGTGCGCCCCACGCACACAAACCGGCCTTCACGCCACAGAAAAGAATGGACTGGATCCTGGTGCCCCGAACAGGGCACAAATCGATTGCGCAAAACCCAAGATTGCCCAAACTTGCCTCAAATGGCCCCAAATCGCCCAAAAATGGCCCAAAGTCGCACCAAACGATGGCTCCTGGGCTTCTGACACACGAAACTTCACCAGTTTGTGCTTTCTACAATCACAAGCCCCGGCAGGTGAGCCAGAAC